CATCAAGTTTTCTGCTCTTACCAAGGCTCTGCCATTGTTCTCAGTTAAGAATTTCCATGGTTGCTGTAAGTTTTTAAAACCAAGTTAATGTCATTTTCACGTAAACAGATTTTATGCTTTCTTACCCTGCCATTTTTGTTGATACCACTCTTAGAACTGCATTGGAACCTGTAATTATCTTAAAATGAAAAGGTTGATTTTCTTAAATAATAAAGTGTTCTGAACAAATACCAGTGTTTGCTCACACCTCCACTCACCAAAAGCAGTCCCTTTTACCCCGGTAAGCTAGTTGTGGAATTTACTTTTCACAAATTTCAGAATATGTAATTTTGAGTATTACCTGCATATATCATTTAGTGACTTAGTATTAAATGAGGATTTAAGTTGTTTAAAATGTCTGTTCTTGGCCCTTCCATTACAGTGATACTATAAACTACTTAATCAGTATTCAAATTGTACAATCTAGCTGACCTATTTTTGCTGTTTTTCTTATTTTCCACTAGTTAATACTTTGACTCTATTTGCTTAGTGTTTTTTCCACTTAATGCAAATTCTTCTCAAATTTTGATTGTAGTTTTCAGTGCAGTGTTTCCGCATCAGGTAACTGCAGTCCCAGTTGCACAGACCCCTCTTTCTTACTGGACCACTGGTGTTTAAGTCTTTTGCATAGCTGTTGCCTGCGTCTCCTCTTGCTATCAACCTTCATTTCCTTTACTTCTCTGCTGGGTTGGAGTCCTCAATTCTTTTCCTCCTAGGTTTACTCTTTAATTCTACAAAGCACATTGCTTTGTCACATTGAAATGTTTGGGGCCATGGCTGCTCTGCACTGGCTATCAGCAGAAGTGTTTTCTGTGTTTGATTTATTCCCTTATTCTGGGTAAACACCCACTTGGAAGGGGTCCCTAGAAGACCTATTTGAGACTTGGTGTTAGTCCTTTTTGTGCAACTAAGCTTTCATTGGTATTGTGGCTTATTGTGGCCAATTTATGCCGGACAACTGAGGCACCCAGCAGGTCCTTTCTTTTAGCATGATAGGGACAGAAGCGGAGGCAGAGGGAGAGAGGGGGAAGGAAATGTCACCTACCATGGTGGCAGGAGGGGGCTCCAGGGAAAGGGGAAGAGAAGGGCAGGGGTGGGTGCAGGGGAGAGGGAAATGTTGGGCAGAGGAAGGGCAGCACGAGGAGGGGCCATACCTGAAGCAGCGTGCCTGTTTTGTGGCCAGGGCAGGTATCAGAGCCACGAGGGATTGGTGGACAGCATTATCAGAGCTGCAGGGGATTGGTAGGTGGGTGGGGATTAGGTGGGGTACACCAGGGATTGGTGGAAAGGGCTGTCAGTTACCATGGATCGGTGGGAATAGGGTTACAAAATTAGCATGGACTAACAAAGTTTGAACCTAAAGGAAGCCGACCTAGGGGAAACAGATATTTAAAAGAGTACCAAGTCCAAAATAGTGGGTGCCTCCAGAGCTGCTGTTCGAGTCCCTCCTTACACTTGGTGTTTAAAAACCATCTTTAGCCACTGAATGCCTGACCGATCATGTAGAATCCCACTTTGGCCCTGCAGCCTAGGCTAAGCTGTCCCTTGAACATGACAGACTTGCCTCTTTCAATCTTCTACTTTGCATTTGCACATGGAATTTTGCTCTAATACTATTGCCTCCTTGACTGCTGAGTGCAAAATTGCAAGTTCTGCATTCCCATCTCCATTTCTGCTTCGTTTTTATTGCCCTGGAATTTAGCAACACCAGGCATGTTATTTGCCTTTTTATTCCAGTATTCTTCCACTAAATGATAAGCTTGTTGGGACCAGAAATTTTATTTTGGTTTTGAATACACTAATTTCTATTTCTGTAATGTGCCAAAAAGGTAATAATTTTCTGGTTGTAGATAAACAATTGTGTGTTATTAATGTCAAATTAAGCAAGTACTACTTATGTTACTTGAAGATCTCCTTTAGATCAAGAAATCTTAGATTTTCTGTTAACATAAGCAGTTGATACATATGGATCAGTATATATGAGATACTTTCCAGCAGCATTTAAAATATCCTTGCACCTGCCCTTGTCCCTCACATCCTGCTTATCTTCTGCTCTCTTCTGGCTACTAGCACAGCTCTGACACTCCTAAATCCCCTTGTGTTCATCTCCGAACCCTGCAGATTTATCTCATTAGAACTTACACTGGCCTTGATCCACTTCACTGGATCAGACCATTTCATCCAGGGCCCTTCCTTTAAGCATTCCTCTTGAAAGTGACCAAGATAGCCATCTGCCCTGCATGCTACAGCCAGCTTGTTACCAGTGCCCCATCACACACATGCACAGCTTTACAGGAACCATCTACCCACTCTAGCAAGTATAGTCATCGACTCTCTTCATTTTGCATACTTCATGATGAAATAAGTGACCTTGGCTCTTTCAAAACTTTTCTATTGTAAGAAAAACATTCATGTTGGCATAGCCCTAATTTTTACTCAAGAATCAGGGAGAAAACAATTATGTAAAATACAGTTTTGGGGAAACAAAGCTTTCCCCATCAAAAGGAGAAGAGATATTGTTCATGTCATTTCAAATTATTTCCAAGTTGCTGTTGTAAAATGCACTTATGAGTAGTCATAAGATTGGGATGTTTCCCCTCCCAGCCAGCTCAGAGCAATTAACTACAATTTTGCTAGTGTCAATCTGGAGTTTGAAAGACAGGAGTCTTTAAACCACATTTAAATATGACTGCTAGACTCAAAGGAAAATACAAGATACCCACTCACATTTGAAGCTCAGGTAACCAAGTAATTGTTACTATCCTGTGTTTTATATTTAAATAGCCAGTTGTTCCATCAATGAAAGAATTTGGTAAGGTTTGGTTTTGAAGGTAAAGATGCTGTTATGTAGAGCTGATTATAAATTAATTTTAGCTGATTGTTGACATAACTCAGCAGCCCATTTCAAGCTGGTTTAAGTCTAGATAGTGAGGTATGAGTGATATGAGGATGAACCAGGAGAAGGCAGACATGTGTCACACTGCTCGTCTCAGATCAACCCTTCTCTGCAGGTGCACAGAAATCACATTACAGAAACATGGACTCAGAGGCATTTCTCAGAGCACAAAGAAGTCAAATCACACCAGAGATAACACCAGAAGACTTTCAATTTACACACTCCCGATCCTTCCATACATAGCTTCATCAGGCTAACTCAAAATAAAAGACTGATGGTTTAAACATGAGAAATTTCTCATACATTTAGTGTCCAGGATTCTCCCCCATCTTGCCATTTCTCTTCCCATGGACAGCTCATCTCTGCATCTCTTCATCAATGGTACTCATTCCATTTAGGAGGTCTCCATCCTCAGGACTTAACTTTCAAAAATTCCACCCCTTATCTACAACCACTAAGGGATAAGGCTTGCATCCACATGTGGGTTTTGGGGAAACACAAATGTTCATTCCACTGCCAGAAAGAACTGAGTAAAGCTGTATGTGCATATCCAGAGAACTTATATGACTGATCATTTCTGACAGGAGGGGGAACCTGGGACACTTGGGAGCCCTCCAGGTGAAGAGAAGTGCACTTCTCAGAAATCTGGGCATAACTCACCAACAGGCAGGTTTTATTTTAAGAAAGTAATAAAACTAACATGATTCCACCTCTCAGTTGTTTATCACTTAGAGTCTCAGTTTTGGTGATTGCACTGTGGTAAATTAGCTCACTTCAAGTCCAGAGATTGTATCTGCATCCAGACAGTCCATTCATCATGCTTAGCATTTGGATTTCAACAGCTCTCTCCTGCATATTTGCCAAAATGCCACTGCAGTAATCACAGAAGGCTCCCTGTTTTGTTCGCCTAATGCCTTCAATATTGTCAGTGGCTCTGAATTTAGGCTTGTTGGAGCATTTTAATAATCCTTCAATCTCTTTCTGAAAGTTTCATATCACTACCCCTCGTAATTCATGAATATTTATTGATCTTAATTTTGTAGCAAGAAGGGAGCAAACTACAGTATTTCCATGTGTGCTAACACAAGAAAGCAATGCAAAGTGATGATAAACCTTATCAGGGCATAAAATGCAATAGCAATGAAGACTTGAAATATCAAATTTTGCAAATCTTTTAATATAAAATATGAAGTTTGAATCACATGTGTCAGCTACACTTTAACACTCTCAATTTTGAAATTGGAAAATTCAATTATATTTTTCAATTATAAACAAAACAATGTAAATTTCAAATAGTAAAACTACCAAAATACTTTAATTGGAATAAATTTAGCTGTATCACACAATGGTACTATAGGAAGGTAAGTAAATAAGCTCGCTGTGGAGAAATCCCAGGTAGGGATGTGGGATCCGATTCCATCCCATTCCAGCTGTCATTTGGGATCTAAATCTCTCCCAGTGGTGACTTAGTTTATACTACCCGATACCCAGGTTTGCTGTGTCTGCCTGGGAAGGACCTTCAGAAATTAAGTTACCGGTGGCCTTTTAGTATGCTGAAAGATCAGGCTAGAGCAAGATGGGTACAGGGATTCACCCTTTGCATGATTTGATACCTGTCCTTCCTGTACAAATCTTTCTTTTACAAAAATATATTGCCAGGGCTAGTGCTGCAGCACAGTGAATAAAACTGCCACCTCTTATACCAACATCCCAAATGGCAATTCCTGGCTCTTCCACTATCTAGAGCCATGCTTATGGTATTGGAAAAAGCATAAAATGGTCCAAGTGCTTAGGGTCTCTGTCACCCATTTAGGGACAAGAGAAAAACCCCTGGCTCCTTGCTTTGGCCTAACTCATTCCTGATCATTATAGGTAACTGGGGATGGTAGATTTCTCTTTTCCTGTAACTCTTTCCAAGAAATATGTAATGTATGTGTGTGCTTGACCACTCAAATGATCAATAAATGCTATTCCTTTAAGCCTAACTTCTTATTTGTATTTTCTTTCATTTTCTCTCCTTTGGGAAATACACGGATCTAAAAATTGGCCTCAGAAGTCTCCATAGACAGTTCTTGGTCCCCACCTGCTATGGTGTCTGCCTCCCTGTCAGAAACTCCATCATTCTTTACGACCCCGAGTATCTTCTCTCTGGCTGATGAGAGCACCACAGACCTAATGTCTATTGACCAGACATTACTAGTCCCCACGAGTGAATATTCTGCCATTAGTCAAGTGACTCCGAGAATTTCATCTTCACTTGCATCTTCAGATGACAGCGGATTGAGTATGGGCAGCCAAGCTACAACCAGAGACCTAGATGTAACAGCTCTGTCAAACACTCCTGCTTTCTCTGAGGACCCAGGACTCAATGGATCTGTTTCTACCCTGGATCATTTCTTAGAGAATCCCACATCTGCCCCAGCTTTACAGTATGTCACCACTAGCTCCATGACCATTGCTACCACAGGCCGGGAGCTGGTAGTATTCTTCAGCTTGCGTGTGGCTAACATGCCCTTCTCCAATGACCTGTTCAACAAGAGCTCACAGGAGTACCAAACTCTGGAGCAACGATTCACACAGCTGGTAAGTAGGCATTGCTTACAGTTACCAATTCTGTGTGTCTTATCTTCCCTTTGACTGCTGTTGTTGGTATTGTTTTATGCTATAATTACTATAGGTCTTGAGTCACCAGTATGAGCAAACTCTTCTGAAGTTGACATCTGAAAGTGTCTAAAGCCAGAATATTACTATACAGCTATCTAAGTTCTGGTGTAAAAGCTTTTTATAGAGTTGACTATGTGGCACTTCTACACAATGCCAAATGAAATGGGTTACACAGTCTATACCAGATTGCAGAATGCAAGTTGTATTTCCTATAACTTACATAATTACATATTACAAACTACATAATATTTCTCAAGTGAACATTTGAAGACCTTGTCTGTGACATCCCTACCATGGTTACCAACACATCCCACTCCACTCCACTCCACTCCCCCTCTGCCTACACACACACACACACACACACACACACACACTAAGAAATACTAGGACACTCTTGGAACAGCTTTGCAGAGAATCTAGCCCAGTTATATTAGGATTCATGCTAAGCTGTCATAAGCAAGACATCAAGAATGCACTGACTTCAATTAGACTTAGGTTTGCTTCTCTTATACTTGAGTAGGACGAATTCTGTTCTACCATCATCCAGAAGTCCACATTTCCTCCATCTTGTAGCACTGTCAACCCCTCGGGTGGTTGCTAAGTTGTATGATCAGAGCAGGGTCACTGTAACATCTCTGTGCACTTAGGAGGAGGAGAAAGAGGAAGGCAAGGGAGAGCAGCTTGCTGGCAACCAAGTGATAGATATTGCGCACATCACTTCCATCACACTATTGGGATAAACAAGTCCATAGCCACATCTTGCTGCAAGAGAAGTTGGAAAATGTCATCTGTAACTGGTCAGGGTCCTTTCCCAAAGAGATGGGGCTGAGGCAGTAGTTATGAGCGCACAAGTGTAGACAGGAAAGCTCTCAAGAGGCCTACCATTCCAAACACTTCAAGAATGAGTCCAGCGTATGCAGAAGGATTCGCAGTAGATTAAACAAAGTCCCTGGCCTTGTATAAAGTCATTTCTATAATAACCTTGTGAAGGAAGCAGAATGTGGGCGAGGGTCAGAATGAAGATTCTCGCTGGATAGGGAAAGCAGAAAGTTTAAAAGGTAATTCTGAGCCACATGTACAAGATTACAGTTTGCCTCTTTGGGTTCCTCAAGCTCACAGGTGTGCAGTTTATAAATTTATGCATCAGGGACTCGCTTCAAAGCCAAGGACAGAGCAGACATTGCCGAGTGTCAAAGATTCCTGTAAAAGTAGCTCAGAATGCTGTGGCTCAGAAGCAGCAGTGCTGGAGGTTGAAGCCCGAGGCCTCAGGAGTCTGAAATTACAGTGTAGAACCCAAACCTTGAGGAAGCAGTTTTTGTTCTTCACAATGCAGATCAAAGCACTGAGGCACAGCACAGTGGGTATGTGGCTGCATGAAGGTGACACGGCCAGCCGGACAACTACAAGATCAGCATCCAGGGCTGCCGACTGCCAGTTCCCTGCTATTTCCCCTGCACCACATTTGTGTTGGCCATGGAACATTTACCGTAGAGACAGATGCACTGATGCGTGTGCTGTTTGTTTCAATACGGCCATTTCAAATTGGTTGCTTCCAAATAGCTGTCCCATTTACACAGGCTTGGATCAGTCTCCTCCTGGGCTTCATTTGGATTGTATTTTTATTTACTTGGACATTTTAAAACAATTGAACTTAGAACTGCCAGTTCACTGATAGCATTGGCATGGACTTTTAGAAAACACCCATTCTCACAAATTATCAGGAAGAAATTACTGTCCATCCATCTCAATCCACACAGAGAATAGGGAACATAATTATTGCAAACACATCATTAAGTTGTGGTGTTCTGGTCACATGGTAAAGCCAAGGCTCAAAATAAAAAGGAGATGTATGCCTCAGATATTGAGGAGTATAAATACAATTAGCAACAACTGAACACTTAAACACAGTTAAAAACCAGTGATCTTTTTTTTTTTTTTTGCAGCTGGTACCCTATCTCCAGTCAAATCTTACAGGATTTAAGCAACTTGAAATACTTAACTTCAGAAATGGGAGTGTGATTGTGAACAGCAGAGTGAGGTTTGCCAAGTCAGTGCCATACAACCTCACCAAGGCAGTGCACGGCGTCCTGGAGGACTTCCGCTCCACAGCTGCCCAACAACTTGACCTGGAGATAGACGACTACTCCCTCAATGTTGAGCCAGGTAAAGGAACCCACCCTCCTGTGTGGCAGCCGTTAGTTGCTTGTTTCCTTTGGCTTGGTTTTTAAGCATGTGGTTCAAACTACAGGCCACAAAAAAAGAAAAATCACCCAATAGGATGACCTTTCAGAAGTCAGTTTCTGTGGTGTGAAAGGTGGAGTGTTAACATATGTTGTCCTAGACCATGAAGCAGAAAACCAGTGTACCTCTTCCTTCACATTCCGAGAGCCTTCATTTCCTGCCAGAACAAAACTTTCGCACTGCTGAATGGGTTTAGTTGAGAACTCAGCCCATAGCCAAGATAATTAACATTGGACTAGGAGTCAAAGTGCACTTTGTCACTGAGCTGCAACAACTAGAAGGCTTCTTTCTAAAGCACCTTCCCAATCAGTTAATCCAGAATAGCCTCTTCCAACACAATGCCAAATGACACGTGAGCATTCTGAGGAAAGAACCACTAGATCCTAGTCTGAACTCAGACAATGTCCATTCACCATCACCAAAAAGAACGTAACTTGCCCTTCCCATCATATGCCGTAGGTCGGCTTGCAAGTGCAAGCTAACATAAAGAAGCGTCAGATAAAAACTTCTAGAATATATGAAGCTTAGCCCAAAGCTGAAGAACAGAAGGCAAACATTTGTCGTGATAATAAAGCAGTGTGTGTACCACCATCAGATATGCTCAAATTGTTTACTATTAGTTTCAAAAATCTGTTTAACCAAGTGAAGGAAGTTTTTTGTTTTTAATTCCCAGGATGCCAAGGGGACGGGTTCCAGACTTCTTGCCAAATCAACCCTCCAGCCAGGTTCACAGCCAAGCTTCCTAATTGGCTAGGAATTACTGAAGTGCATCCTTACCACAGGCTTTGGCTCTCTGTGGGCTAACAATGAAAGCAGAGGGGAAAGGCCTTGGGCAAAAGGCAAACCAGAAGACTCAGAGGGAGGCGTTTAGCTTTGACAAAGCCTGCTTTGAGCAACTTTAAGAAATTTCCCCAGTACCTCAGCAAACAGGATCATTAAAAAGACAGACAGCCCTTAGGCACTGAGCCTGGGCATTCCTACCTGGAAACTGAGCCTCTGCACTGGGCTCCCTGTGAAATCAAAGCCCTCATGCATGGTAGAGAGAGGGTACCACTGCTCTGAGAGGCAACCGGTGGCTCCCGCCAGGCACAATTAGTAGACAGATTTCTTCAATCAGTAGGAGGAAGGAAAAGCTTGGAAAGCTGCAGAGGTGAGAGTCCAATCCCCTTTCTTCAGGGGGCTCACACAGATAACTTAGGTAACAGCAACACTGGCTGGTCAGTGGGAAGACCCACGAAGGGAAAAAAGGGGACTCAATGTGCTTGGGACACTGTGGGGCAGGCTCCTCATTGGGGGGTACCTGAGATAAAGGATGGAAGATAGGAGGATGGTATGAGATGCAAATAAGGGACACTGGGTACGCTAGGAGGAAGCACACGGTAGCAGTGGTTTAGAGGGTCCATAGCCTTGAATATAAATTCTGTGTGCTAATATCACTACTCAATTTCCACAACTGCATAAAGATAAATAGTGCTGAGGAATATTTCCAATACTAGCACAGCGTTTGACAATTAAGGTTGTCTAATAAATCTTAGTAGTTGCCATTCCAACATTGTTATAATTGACTTACTAGCTGGTGGTCTTCACAGAATACTAACAAGAATAAAAACCTACATTTCAAGGTTTTTGTGTTGGAGATTGGACCTGAAATTATTTTCCTAATTTCCTGTGACTTATTCTATGCAACTTTTCCTTTAAGCAGTCAATAGCAGTATTAACGGTAACAACCATTACAGTTTTCAGTTCCTGTTAGACCAAATTTATGTTGAGCTACCTAAGCATGCTTCCAGGCTACCTGATGTACTGTGGGGCCCATGCCCAATTTGTACTGTTAATGGTCAAACAGTAAAGGCCAGTATGGGCTGGACAACTTGGGAAGTTGGCTCCGACTGTATACTTTCCACAGGTAGTTAAACCTTGGGCCTGATCAGCTCTAAAATTTGCAGAGAAGCTGGCATGCTCAAGCCAAGTAGAAGAGTGAACATGAAAGCGTGTTGAAAGAATGAGTACTTATGTCTACAAGGGTGACACTGCCAAAAACCACTGAAATGTTACACTAAGATTTTGGGTAAATTCATGCTCCAGACTCCTCCTTACCGGATTTCCAGGGAGTAAACCAAATGTAGACATTTCACACTAATCCAATAATGAAAAATTCTCTGAACAAATCTACCCCCAAAATGGCTGTGGTGAGGCAGGAAGGAGCCTATATTGGAGTGTGTCTAGTGCTCGGGGTTTGAGGAGGGGGTAGTCACCCAAGTGCTGGTCAGGAACATGGGCCGGCAGAAATACACAGTGCCCTCCCCCATGTTACCAGAAAGCTTGATGGGTTCTTTCCTCAGCTTATACTGTAGACATAAAAGTCAAGAATTGTTGCAGAAATAAGTTTTAATTTTTTTTTATGTTCACTTCATAAATAAAAGCAAGCATTAAAGAGGAAACCCTGAGGTGGGGCATCTCCTAAAAGACACTGGAGTTTAGCAAGAGTCTTGAATTTTTATGGGTTCCCTGAACCCACATTGTGCTGATCTGGCTGGACAGCAGGGTCCCTCTGCTGGATGCCAACTAGACAGACCTGTGGGAGTCCTTCCCCTCCACGCTAACAGTTTGCAAATGACTGGATAATTCCTGTCTGCCCACTTGAAGGTGTTATTCACCGGCTACTGGGAAGGGATCGAATAGTGATGTGACAAACAGCATAAGAAAATTCCTTTCTGAGGTATCAGGATTCAAACAGCAGCCTGTTTGCCAACACCTCTGCATGCTTACATGGGACAGTAAGATGGTGGCCCAGGGAGAAGGGCCTCCCAAGGCTTGCCCCAGGACCTCACAAGAGTTCAGCAGGCTTGGATGATCAACCCACACAGTATCCACTGCTATTCCTCCTACTCTGCTTCATTTCAAGGCAGAGCAAAAAGCCCACAGAACACCCCACACTTGCTTCTTTACAAAGTCATTTATTCCCTAATTCTGTGAATCTGCTCATCTCACAAAATTTCTTAAAGGTTAAAATACTGTTTAAAAACAAGACCTGTATCATTACAGGAAAATGTTTCCAACATCAGCATTTGTGTATGATTTTAGCTTGTGGAAATGTGCGCAAAATTGCTATTTTGATGTAAAATGGTGTTTAAATTTTGGAACAGATTAAGATAAAATGTGAAGATGCTTTTCCAGCCTTTTCTATTGTTCTTTGTAATCCAACAACATGACAGCTATTTTGCTCCTAGTTTCAGTGTGATGGTCTAATCTAGATTTTTACCTTTTGGTGGTGTATTTGACTAGAAATTGTCAAAGTGATCGATAGGCAGGCTCGTTTAAACATCCTCTAGGTAGGGCAACCAGGGCGGCCACTGGATCACTGCCTTTCAGGTTCCAACATGGCACATGAAAATAATTGCATCAAGTTCCTTTAGAACCAGAACTCGGACTCCAATTTATACAGCCCTTGGCTCTTCTGCAGACGTGGTCCCTTCAGGAATTGATGCCTTGGGCTGACACAGCAATGCCCACAATGTACGGCAGAGGCCCATGGGACACTAAGAATCAGTCCTTCAGGGAGACCTGAAGGCCACTTTGGCAAGTACATGAAACCAACATGATTTGGGTTTCTGATCTTTCCAGTATTTGCTTAAACTCACTGATGCTAGTTCAGTTTGCTAAGGACATTCTTTTGAAACAACAAGGGAACATCTTGAGAAAAAAAAAAAAGCTACTGAAAATACGATGTCTGAAATACACAGCTGTATCTGTGGCAAAGGATTCCAAAATAGAAAAGGTATTTTGGAAATGTAACCTTTTCCCAGCCTATTTGCCAGGAGCAATACTGGGTTACTGGACTTCTAATTTGCCCCCTCTTTCCTATTGCCTTGGTAGAAATAGGATGTTACAGCTAGTGCTATAGAACCCTACTGGGTAAGCAAGGCAAAGGTCTTCTCACTTCCAGTCCTGTATACTGAGCCCCAGAATCACTACCCTCCCTAAACTAACTCCCCCCCCCCCCACCAAACTTAAAGATTCAGCCTCACAATGTCTCCAACAATCATTTGTAAGGGTGAGCATTTGGCACAGCAGTTAAAATGCCATGTGGGCCACCCACATCCCAAAACAGAATGAGTGCCTAGGTTCAAGTCCTGCTTCTGCTCCCAATTCCACTCTCCTGCTAGCACGTGCTCCTAACAGGCAGCAGGCCCAGTAGCCACCCACATGGCAGACCAGAACTGAGTTCCCTGTTTGTAACCCAATATATCATCAGTATATTAACATTTTTCTTTATCTTATTAACAAGGGAATCACTAGGATGATAAATCTGATGTCGAGAATACAGAAACTGGTTGGTTCTCCGACTATATACAGGGAAAAAAGGCAAAGAAAATCATGTATACAACATGTAAATACAAAGTAGAAAATACAATCCCTGTGTCTTCCCCATTTTCTCTGCATTAACTTCAAACTCTACAGAGTGATAAAATGCCGGGGCCATAACTGAGAGTCAAGCAAAGTTTCTGCATTCTAGGCATCAGCAAACTGAGGATTCAACAGTAAATGTTTTACATGATGCAAGCCAAATAGCAGAATCAGATGTTACGCAAGTACTTATATAACCATTTGAAATCTCACCATTTAATAATGTAACAGGATTCTTAGCTGGCAGGTTGTACAAATGCAGGTGGCCCACAGACTGGCCCACAGGTGGTCCCTGGGTGTTAGATGGGGTTGCTTATATCCTAATAACACACCAAAGGCCATATAGTGGACTTTGTGCCCCATTTCCAAATGCTTAGTAATTTTTGAAGCAACCTCCTAGTCCCTCTGGCCTTTATATTCACCGTGACAGAAAAGTTAGACAAGTAAACGATAAGGCAATCAGGATTTAGGTTCCTGTTTGTTCATAATCACTGTACAGTTATAGATTACCTGCC